AAAACCCTCATTATTTAACGAAAAAATGGATGCCTTGGCCTAGATAGGTTTCGACGCAGCGTTTACGAAAATAAATATAATGAGGTCCTTTATTAAATTCTAAAACGAAATATTTAAAAATGCTACAAGTTAATTAATAATCACAGCCAACACATCACACAATGTCAAACAAACTACTTCCGTTTTGCGAACCTAGCTCCAAACTTTACTGCGGCAGAGTGTCGACATTATATAACAATTTTGTCTTAATCTCCGTATATTATAAACGAGCCGAGTTACATTTCTATGAGTGGAATTGTTTTGAATACTTTGACAGTTCGATATCCCTCCATCAGACCTACAGGATAAACTACACAAATGAGTTGTCTCAAAAGTCGACTCCAAATCAAGTCATTTTGTTTTAGATAATCTGTTTTCCGCTGATCCGAATTTCGTTTTACTAAGGAGTTATTTTGGTTGGGTATTAGGTACTTGCATTAATAAAGAGAGTTAAGCAGTTGCCCTTCGAGTTTATACTCAGAAAGTTCACTTATCCCTTTATATTAGGTACAACTTCACTTCAAATTTAGGTGAGTCATAGATGTTCCAGCAAGTGTTAACTTTTCGAGAAAGTGTGTGAAAACATAAGAAAAATACTTTCCACACACATGTACAATTTTATCCGAAATCACGTAAATAACAGAACGTTTCGCTTTATTGTAGAAAATGGTCCTCTTGCCAATGACAAGGTTTTTGATTGTTATTACTATGGGGTTTAAATAACATCCCACAATTAACAAATGAACCCTTCAGTGAAAAATTGGAAGTACTTCGTCTCACAATGATCAGAAGAACAACTGCAATTCATTTCGCTGACAGCTTTACTTCCACCTTACAAAAAGAGCGTTGTCGGGTATTGATCTTCTTTTCACAATTTTAGCTTTGTTTATTCGGAACAAAGTTAGTAATTATTACACTGGTCCCAATCATTTCAGCAGGCAAAACTTGCGCACGTCCGAATGGTTGAAATTCCATTACTCTTTGACATTCATGGCGACAAACCTGACGTGTCAGAGTGGAATGGTACAGCAAATGTTTTATCATTGTGTAACACAAAGAATTGTCGTCAAAATGCTGAAATTGCAGAATCGATAACATATTACTGTGTACCGTTACCAGCTTTCTATAAAAATGGTTCCCAGACTAAAAATGCACCCCAATTGTAAATTAAACGAGAAAACCAGGTTAAATGAACCATGTATAAACGCCGACAATAATTTATATTTTCGTTCATGAATTTTAACAAATTGCGCCGGGGCCTCTTTTCATTTAAATTCACTTGTAATTATCTTTTTCGTTTCATATGCAAATTTGTATTCTCCACCATGGATTTTCATCAGACGTGTAGGTGAAAAAATCATTCGCCGCACGCACTATTAAAATTCGGATGTGACACAATTAAATTTTAATTATGGAATAGCTGGACCAACAAAGGTACCTAATGGAGTTAATGGTGATGCTAAAAAGAATGCTTTTAAAACATAAACTGCGACGAGAAATTTATGTAAATCAATTCGGTCCTACTGAGGCGGGCACTTAAATTAAGGGGATTAAATCAACTATTACCGCGAGGAGGTATTTAATTAACGATGGCATTTAACGTTTTCCGCGAAACGTTTCCTTTTAAAGAGTTCATTTGATTATATTTGCTACTCTTTTTTAAAGCCAGAAAGTATAGAGATATTATAGAGATGAAGGCAGTTTGACTATAGGTACCATTAGGACGAATATAACTATGTTTGCAAGGAAACGTGACTGGTTAATTCTGCATAGATTGGGATGAGAAATATTTCTTTTGTAAAATTTAAACGCTACGCCACTTTGTGCCTTGTTCGGATTCGGGTGGAGGCTTAAAAGTGTATGTATATTTGTGTGGCCCCACGTTAGGCTACAAATAAATAATGCTGTGCGCAATGGTATGTGGTCAACTACACCACCCACAAAACCATCGTCCAGCTAGCCCAAAACAGATCAAAATTGAAATTTAGCATTTTATAATCTCTCCTTTTTACACTTCCAAAATCCCAATATTGACTTACAGTTTTAGAAAACTCGGTGACCTCGATCAACTTCCGAAAATTCCAAAGAATTTATTACAATTATTTTTATCAACACCTGTAAGTTAATCTTGGATACGAGAAGGTAAATCTGACAAAAACTCTATCTGGTTCGCACAATGGGTTCGAATAAGCCCACAATTAATTGATTGACAAAGACAAAAATTTATTTCGAACCACACGAAAAAGACACTAAACAGAATTCCTGAAAGAAAAAGAAGCTTAAAAAGCTTGTTGTTTATTACAACGCAATCAGGTGTTCTACCAAGAAAATCTGATATCTTTGATATCCCACTAACAATTCCATTACAAGGAGCCAATGGTTTACTTAATAACAGAAAACATGTGGGAGATTTCTAAGTGTCAACCTCTGGAGTTAGTTTTGAATGCCTGTCAGTCAACCAATAGATTTTTTGAGTTGAAGAACGAATTGCTATCTTTTTGTGAAGATGTGTACTTTTCATGTGAGACGTCGGTCTAAGTGCATTCCTAGTTTGAGAAGAAATGTTTGGATTGTGGTGGCAAGCTAAGATGGCAGTATCATTAGCAAAAGTTGCTGCTAGCATGCCGTGGATTGTTGGCAAATCACCCGAGGTGAGATATAACAGCGGTCAACGAATACTGCCTTGCGGGACTATCAGAACTGATTTTGTAAAGGTATTTGTGTTCATTCTTGGATTTTACAAGAAATCAACAATATTCAAGGTAAAATTTCAAGATAAGGAAAGATTATGGGGAAAAGCTTTTGTTAATTTGTACAGTAGACCTAGATGCCATACCTTATCAAATGCTTGGAGATATATCTAGAAATACTGCTGGGCAGAATTCCTTTTTTCAAGGGCTTGATTAATACTTGTTCTATGGTTCAATGGTTTCCTTAAAGTCTTTAAGGTTTTATTTTATGAATAAGTAGTTTAGTATAACGGATAGTAAGCTTATGGACCGGTATGATACATCTTAAGGCTTTACCAGGTTTTGGAATAAGGATTTCTTCCAGATTCCATTGCAGCAGAAAGTATCCTAATCTTAAGGTGGCATTGTAGATTGCTGTTATTTCCTTAAGTGACATTGCCTTAAGAATTTTTGCAAGTTTTTAAATCATGTCCTGGGCTTCTTTTTATGATTTCGTCCTGTTCTAATGCATTTGGTTACTTGCCTAACTGAGAACTTAAAATTACTTACAGTTTTTCTCTCTTTTAATAATCTGGTCGTCTGAATAGAGCTTACTGCTTAACTCCACACGCAAACGCTGACAGCTTTGAATTTAAATTTTCTTTAGAATCTTGGTGATAAACATACAAAGAAACGTACATTTTTCAACCGTCACGAAACAGCTAGCAGCAGTCTATATAACTTACCGTATTTAACAAAACACCACCTCCATAATAATAAAATAAATCTCCTTCCGGTTTTTTTTTTACAAAGCGCCAATCATAATTAGCCTTGATAACGCCAGCTTTGGAAGGTTGGGGAGGGTTTTATCCCTTATGGTGCTCTAAAGAACGAAATGTCAAAACGAATATCTCGAAAGGGAGGAGTCGGAAGAGAGTACTCGTAAAGGGTAAGCGGAACTTCTGGGCGAGATTCATGTACTGGTGATGTCAACACTTTCAGTGCAAATATATGCATAACGAAGTGTTGGAGGAAGGCACTCGCAAAAAGTGATTGGAACTTCTACAGGGGATATATGTAGATAAAAATGAGTTTTCAAATAATTTATTTTTCTGTTCCTATAGGTAATCGATAATACTGATTCATCATCAGACCTTTTTATTTCAGCTAAGAAAAATTCTCCTAAAAAGCCAATACATTTTCGCTCAAAATTGACAGATTTAGAAGCATTTCATCGCTTACCCAAGGTAAGTAATTAGAAACCTATCTGCAATACTAAATCTTCCCTAATTGCATAATGAAGAGACCTTTTAAGTACTTAAGTACTTCGTTTTCCTGAAAAAGAAAAATCCTAAATCTGACCTACCTAAATAAACTAGATGACAGTAATGCCAATGTAAAGTTTAGAAAAATTATGGCAGTCTAATAACTGATATTAACAGAAAATAATTGGTAATATAATTTTGAAGTATTCACATTACCTACATTTATATATGTATAGCCTTTATTGGTGTATTTATCTTTCCAATAAGATTTATTGCCTCATCCATAACGTGTGGCAACAACGTAAGTGATTACTTACTAACTGATATCTTTCAGAAGCTAATGTGCACAATTATAACATGTTGGATAATATATGATCACTTCGTAAAGACGGAGAAACGCCATTTGTACCAAAATCCCTAGAAACGAGACCATAACCGCTGCGTTCGTTCCCACAAAAAAATATAAAGCGTTTATCAAGGACTTTCAGACGTATAACGCCATTAATGAAAGTATTTTTTAATGCGAATTGTTTACTACTACATTAATCTTGATAAAGAAAACACTTAGGGGAGCCATTCCACCATAAAAATATTTTATGTTCTATTGAAGCAAGTTGCAATTGTTATTTAAGTGGTGCTTATTGCAATCCTGGAAATCGTAAAGCTGAGTTATGGTGCCGAATTGTGCTGGTACTTGATTGCTTTGGACATATACAATTCCGCAAATGAAAGCAATGAAGTTAATATAACGTATTAATATTATTATTAAACACACGTGACTATTGAAAATGCGTCAATACAGCACTAGCACTTTATTTTATAAGCGCGTCTATAGGTGGAACATTTTATAAATGTACCAAAAGTCCTTTTAGGTTTAGCTGTCAGTCAATTCCGGTAAATTTGTGGGAAAAAGCATTGGAGAGGAATATCTGAGTAAAACTCGGGAACATAGTCGGCATAGAAAACGAAAATCAGATTTAATAGATGGCGGAGATCTAAAATGATGTAAATAGTTTACATTGCTTACCTTATTAAATATAATTTCCCTACTTATTCTTCTAAATTGATTATTGAGCAACCAGTACAGGAAAGGATTCCAAAAGCTATTACTTAATGCCAGCCATGTCACTAAAAAGTCCAACCCTGGTGGAGCCCTCGTGCCTGTACATGCGACTACGACTTCTTGTATTGTCCATGGTGTTACCAGTACTATAAACCCCAAAGACATTGCAGCCATTGTTCTTGAAGCGCTTGTACTCAAACGTCTCTCTTGAGTAATGAGCTGTAATTAAAGAATAATCTAGTTAGAGACATTTAAAACAACAGAATAAAAATTAAGTCTAAATAACTTTGAACGATGTGTGTCTGGTTAGTTATTTTTCTGGATAGTAAATTTAAACAAGTTAAAAAGTAATCGTAAACGATTTACATAAAGCGGATTTCCACTTGCATTCATTTCCCATTTGTAAGATGCAACTTCTGTTAAAATCGTAAAAATCCGGCCACAAATATGAAAGATAGCGTTGCACATGGGCAATCCATTGTTGACGTGCTGCTTCAATTTCAGTTTATGAGAAGAATTTCATTTCAATGCTTTTCTAAATAAGAAAGTTGGAACTGCGCATGCGCAAACCTAAATTTTAAAACTAATTTACTATAACTAACTAATAAACTAAGATTTTCCTTTGTTCCAAGCGCCTAAGTATCAAATTTCACTTAAATAGTTCCATAGATAAAAAAAGTTGGCACGGCGCATGCGCAAAATAAAATTTTGAAACTGGCGCTAGATTTTCCTTTATTCCAAGTGCCTATGATCACATTTCATTTAAATTCTTCCATAAATAAAAAAGTTGGCACTGCGCATGCGCAAAACCAAATTTTGAAATTGGCGTTTGATTTTCCTTTATCCCAAGTGCCTATGGATAAATTTCGTTTAAATTCTTCCATAAATAAAAAAGTTGGCACTGCGCATGCGCAAAACCAAATTTTGAAATTGGCGTTTGATTTTCCTTTATTCAAGTGCTTATGTATCAAATTTCGTTTAAATTCTTCCATAAATAAAAAAGTTGGCACTGCGCATGCGCAAAACCAAATTTTGAAATTGGCGTTTGATTTTCCTTTATTCCAAGTGCCTATGTATCAAATTTCATTCAAATACTTTTATAAGTAAAAAAGTTTGCAATTCGGTTTATAAATGGTCGAGATGCGAAAAGGGCACTGTGAATTTTGAATCGATTCGATCCAACTTTTGGCATTGCGTATTATATGGCTAAATCTATGCCCATATTGAATTTCATGCAATTCAGTTCATAACTAACGGAGATGTAAAAGCGATCGAACATTTCTAAACAAAGTTATCGTTCACACGGACAGATAGATGGACAGACAGACAAAGGAACAGACGGAGAGACCAACCGGCAGGCGACAGATAGCAATGCAAAATTATAAACGATCTCTAGGATCGTTAATAAACGGCAAAAGTGTAAAATTATGGAACATGTAAAAAACGGTTTTTTGTTTTTTTTACAATAACTTTTTTGTAAGCGGTACAGAAAAAATTCCTTCCTTGGTACAAGACTCGACACCATAACGAACCAAATAGCGAAAAAAGTAGAACAATAGCTCTTAAGATAAAAAACTAGTAGCGTCGCAAAGTTAGCGGACGGACGGACGGACGGACGGACGGACGGACGGACAAAGTGGCCACAATAGCGCATTTTTTTTTTATTTTTGTGGAAATGCGCTAAAAATGGGACACCAAAAGTTTTATTGTTTAATTGAAGGTATAAATTACAGTTTGCAAGCTAGTGCAGATTTGGCGTTATAGGCATATTTAGACAGTAATATTTAATTTCACTAGAAACCCAATATAGGTATAAAATACAATGCATATCGAAAAAACTATTTCGAAATATCTTTTTAAATATCTTCAGTAAAACATAAAAACGATTTTGCAAAATTGCATTTTGGTTAGCATCAAAATACGCAACTTTGCCAAATTTAAACTACCTACCTATCTCTTACAGTTCCCGAGATCCCCATGGTGGCCCTCGAATTTGAATCAGCCTGTATAGTTTTGTAATATTGTAACGGAATTGCTCCAGATATGACGTCGCCTTTGGCGCTCTGGAATTTTCTACGCGCGCGATAGTAGGAACATTCGAGAATGTACTGGACTTACATTGCTTGCGTGTATAAATGGTTGCGGACCGAACATCGCGGCAGTCTACTACCGAACGAGTACGTAAACATCGAGCGCGGAAATATAAATTGCGAAGTGTGAGTGATATAAATAATCGATATAAATTGTACGGATTTTATAGTGTTTTAGTTTTGTTTAATAAATATTGATATAAATCGAACCCGAAATTATAAAACACGTTACAATATTAACTAGTCACAAAAGATTTTTTCCCTACAAAAGGTGGTTTAGTAGTAATTTTTTAAGATGTCGAATGAAAGGTACTAAAAATCGTTTTTTTTTTCAAAATAACATAATAACAGCGGTTGATCAGCGGTTGGTCTTACAAAAAAGAGTTTCAAATAAAATGAAGGCAATTCCTCAAATTTTTTGTCATACACTTTTTTGTACTAATATGTTCCGAGTTACAGCGGCGGAGATATGAACTTTCCCCTAATGTTTATTCTCTTCTTTTTTGAACGTTTCTTGGAGAGGTATAATAATCTTGTAAATTCAAAGTGTAGGTACTCGTTTCCACACCACCTTGCGAAGTGCAGAACGTAGCGCGTTTTCTTACCACGCGATTATATTAGCAGCGTTTTCTTTTTGTGTCATCATCATGAGTGCTTAGGACAATACATTGTTGTGTGTTGTGTGTGTCAACAAGATGGTGCACCCGCGCACAATATCCTATTGGTGTGCGAATACTTATCGCGAAAAATAGACCATTGTGTGCGGATCCAGGTGCGGATGCACTTATCTTGCTGAAACCACCAGATTCCTACTCTTGTTTTTTGTTGTATTCGTAATAAAAAAATCCTACTCTATATAGTATGTACTTTTTACGTGATATACATATAAAAAAAGTTGATGATGATTTCTCTGAAACGAAACGTTGTACTCAAAACCATTCAACTGTGTCTTGTATAGCGCACCCTACTTCGTTGGAAAATGCTCTAAAAAGCCATACTTGAGTATGCAAAATCCGAGGGCCGCATTGTGCCAATTGACTCAAATTCATTATTAATCTACAGATTAATAATTCGGATCTGGCCGGAAGCCTTATTGGTTCAATTTTGTTTTATACCCCCTCCACCCGCACCGCGTAAGTCGATTGAGCGCATGTTATACCGGGTGGCGCACGGCAAGTAGGAACATAGGGATTTAGCATGGGAAATTAGTTTTATGCAATATCCTGCCCTCCTGTACATTTTACAGAAAAAATTGTAGAGTTTAAAGTTGTTCAGAATTAAACGGTGCATAAAAAACTGTTTTGACATGTTTTATTAAGCTTTTGGTATACCTGTACATTTAAAAATAAATTACCGTGCACCACCCGGTATATCTATTTTGATGATTATATTAGTGACAATTTTGTTTTTTTTTAAATAATTAAAAATAAATAAAAGTTGGCAAATGAAATTATTAATAAAAATAATAAGAAAATTATTTAGTGAAAAAATAAGATGCAAAGGTACGTATCCAAGAGAAAATTATTTAACTTGCAAAAGTAAACTAGGACTTTACGATCGCTATTATAGATTGCATATAACTAACTCTCTCTCTCTCTCTTGTCGTTTTCCACCGGCAACCAAACAGTACAAATTGTACTACATGAACACCTTTTCGAGCGGCGGAATACATGTTGCTGCTTCGTTGATGCAGTTTGAAGGATCAGATTGAGATCTGTCAGTGAAATAACTAAGCGCAAAGCCAAGATTCGAGAACAATTGGCGCAATGTAAATTTTCCTATGGCCCATTTTAGATAACTCAACGCCTTTACATTGTCGTATGGCCCATCTTAAAAAAAAACACCCTGTATAAGAAATCCAACGATGTAGCGCTTATACATACTTTTTTCCACCCAATCTACTCCTCGATCGCAACCACTTATAGAATGTAATACCGGTAAAATTCGACAAAGATTTTCGCCAAGGGGTTCAGCGGCCAAATGGCATCCAAATAGTTCTTCTTATAAGAACCGTGAAACCATATACCAAGACAACCAAGGCGTGAAAACTTATTCCAGAAATAAATTCCCAGGATGAAAACGTCTGTATCAGAGCTGAAGATTACGACATGAGCGGGGCCAACTTCACACAATATTTTAGTTCTTTTCGTTTTTCTTGGAAAGGTAAAACGTTAGACTCGCAATATTGGAGCAGCACAAAAGAGCAATAACGTAGCACTAACGATCGCATTGTTTTTTTTAAAAACGAGTCATGGGTTCACACAATATTTAGTTTTTTTCGTTTTTCTTGGAAAAATGAAATGCTGGAATCGCAATTTTTGAGCACAAACAGCACTAACAATCACATTGTAGTTTCATCTAATTAAAAATCTCTGGCATTTAATGGCGCTAACATAGTACTAACGCCGTGTGCGTTCGTTATTTCGATGTGTGAAGTTGGCCCTGTCCCGGTTTTTTAATTTTTCTCATATTATATAGCAGCACTAACGATAAGCTTCGAGCAGTAAATAGCACTAACGTAGCACTAACTGTCAACACATTTTTGTCAAATTATTTCATTTGGGCGGGGCCAACTTCGCATGGGTGAAGCAAATGGTACAATAGAACCAATAATATGGGAGAGAATGCACTTGTTCTAATTAAAGACGAACAAAGGACTCCATGTTTTGGTCTCTAGGGCGGATAATTGAGGTGCAACCAGGTACGGATTGAGTGGTCCGTGTTGTCACTGTAAAAACATCGCACGGCATTATATTTTAAATTTTAATTTAATAAAGTTAATTTCAGTTATATCGGGTGATCAAAAAGAACTGCAGACAGTTTAAATTGGGCGCTTTAAGCTTTTAATATTTTTTACTTAAGGAATTGACAAACATGTTTAGAAGGTAGTTTATTTATGCATTAGTGATTAAATTCATCCACCACTGCTTTTACATAAATGACATTTGGTATGTTACCAACGTTATAAATGTTTAGTTTTACGGAAAATTCAAATTGTCCGCACTATTTTTCGATCACCCGGTATAGCCTAGTATTTCTTAATAAGATTGTTGTGTATCTACCCTTATTTCACGTCGTAGTCCAAACCAGAAAGATTGTATAAATGCCGGAATATGTGCTGTTTG